TCTCTCTCTCTCTCTCTCTCTCTCTCTCTCTCTCTCTCTCTCTCTCTCTCTCTCTCTCTCTCTCTCTCTCTCTCTTTCATATTTTCGCTCGCTTGCTCTCTCCAAACTTTGTTCTGTCTGAATGCAATAAATGCCAATAAGCTGGTGCAAATCAGCGTATATACGGCTATATTATAGATACATAGAATATATATGAACTGCAACGTTAATTTTTCTCATTGTCCGTGAGAATCGTACGAGAGACGATAAAAAAATATAAGAACGGAGAGTAGTATACAATATCGGTAGCAAACATGATCGCCCTGTCATGCATCGAATTTTGAATTTCTTTTTTTTTCTTTTTAGCGATCAATGATGCATAAATATAAAATCGATGTAATCGTTTGACGATCAGATCAATGAGTGTATTTAAAGAAGTCGCGAAACGAACATCTCGAATCGATCGAAAAGTTCGTTTGTTTGAAAGTTATGTGGCAGTCGATGATCACTTTTTAATATTCTGTTCTACCTGTTGTCCGGTACCGAAATATTTTGACTTGGAATGTATCGAGCTGTGCGTTATTAATGAAATCTGTACATGGAAGTAGCGGTGGTATGTACGAAAAAATCCAAGATTCAATTTAAATTACAAGTGTGACGTGCATTTTAATTAAAAAAAAAGGGGGAGATTGGAAGAAAATGCTGGAAAATATTAAAGTTGCATCACGATCGCGAAAAAGTTCAATGCACGTAACTTCTATTACGTCTCAATTTAAATGCATCTAAGACTAAAGGAATCTTACAAATTTTCTTTTACGTATCTTCCGCTAGATTAAATTCTGTGATATTTACATAGAAACGCAAGCGTTTTCCATTGTGCGTGGGATTAAATTTTATGTTACGTCACGTTAGGTTGCTCGATTTAACTATGAATAATACTTGTCAAGATATGGAGCACGGCAATCGTCATTGATTGAAGAGAAAATTGTACGATACCACCGAAGACTAATACGGATGCAAACGTAGTAGGTGATCCGTGATGTGTGTTGTGCATCGAATTGGTAGAATCAGAATCGATTTTATCCAAAGTTCGCGTTGCTTACCAATCGTTCAGTAAGCAACCAAAAGGGTACGGTTCACTTAGAACACTAGATTAGATATAATGTACTTACACACAAACATGTTTGATATACATGGGGTATAACTGCATTCCATTTTCGCAAATATGTAGTAAAAAAAAAAAAAAAAATCGTGTACAGTTGTCGATGATCGTTTCGGTTGATCTACACAGCAGTAGAATTCGTTCTTTCTTCGCTTTAATTCAAACTGGTCCGCGTCTCATCTTTATCTTCTACTCAGTTCTGCTCTGACAACTGAAAAAATTTAAAGGAAAAAAAAAAAAAAAAAAAAACAAGAATAGATGAGCAATTTTAAAATAGAACTCGCGGTTTAATTAGCCTTGACTTAATTATTCTTACCATCTACAATCTCCTGTTTCATCTTTTGAAATTCTTTGCGCACTTCCTTGATGATCTCTGCTTTAAATGCCTCCATTTCTTGAGCAGTGAGCACAGCCCCGTCATTAACGCCGTTTACTTTTAGAAGCGTATCCTCGGAAGCAGAACCAAACCTCTTGCGAACTGATTTCGGTGATTCGGCACCGTTCGAGAATTTATTATTTGACAAACTGTTCTTATCCCATGATTTCTTATCGGGTGAACTTTCAGGTTCCTATGGAAAAGGGAAAAAGAAATATTTGCAAGTTGAAAATCGACAGCAATATATTTGAATGAGATATTATGACTGAAAAAAACGTACTTGTGGTTGTTCCGGTTGTTTTTTCTCAACAGCAGCTCGTCTACGAGCTAAAGTTTTAGCCATCTCATCCATCATAGAAGCCATACCACCAGCTCCGCCCCTTCCTAGGGTGCCATAATTCCCACTGCTTCCAGCACTTCCGCTGCTGCTAGTACTGGAACCACTATTTTCCACTGGTTGCTGTGATGCCTAAACGCGAGAATAGACATGCGAGAATGAAATAAAAACAAGTTGAAGGCGAGAGACTTAAGTTAAAACATTTCGATGCGAGGCAAGACGCGCACCTGCTGTTTCTTTTTGAGGCGAGTCGCTTGAATTGCAGCAGCCAATGAATTGGAATCTGGCGATGGTTCGCTAGTGGCAATGGAGCTTACGGATCCAGTGGAACCAGATGCAGAAAGAGGATTTAGGTTGACGGCGTTGACTTTCGGAGCAGGTGGTGGAGGAGGTGGTGGAGGAGCGGCAGGTCCACCCAGCGGAATCATAGGAGGAGGTTGAGGACCGGCATTGCCAATGGGAGCATAAATATTAGGATTAACCGGTGGTACGTGATGTCCACTGCCAGGGACGGTATTGCCACTGCCAGCACTGTTCCCGCAACTACCACTGCTGCCACCGCCACCACCTCCACTGCCGCTGTACTGATTCACCGAGTTTGATGGTGTTCCGTATGGATTCGTAGCGCCCGAAACTGCCTGTATCTGACCGCTGGCGTACTGTGCCTGTGCCTGAGATACGACACTGTACTGAGACTGATTCGGCTGGCCAACACCAACGTTGACACCTACCCCATATTGGCCGGTTGTCGCAGATCCGCTGCTCGCATACTGGCCAAGCGAGTTACTACTCCCATACTGATTTCCACCAGCACCACCCGCACCATTATTATTACCACCGCCACCGTACTGGTTTCCTTGTCCCGGCTGACCACTCGGATACGCATTGCTAACTTGCCCGTTGTTATTATAGAAGTTGTTCTGATTTCCGGAGGAATACTGACATGGACTTTGCCCGACGACAGCCACGGTCGCATACTGACTATTGTTCGGCGTGCCTCCGTATTGATTGCCTTGACTGCTACCATAAATCGACTGTGTTTGAGACTGATTCGGCAGATTTGATTGAGACGACGGTGACTGCGCGTATTGGTTCATCATCATCGGAGGTGGTACCGGTGCGTTAAAGTTTATCATTGCCGGTGGACACGGTGGAGCTGCAATTGCCATAGGAGGCTGAGGCGGTGGTATCGGAGGTGCACCACCGCTCGATATTTGACCCGCGCCGGTCCCCATACCACCGGTGACTTGCATCGATTGCAAAACAGTTTGCTGTTGAGGCTGGGGAGCTGGTGGTGCCGACGATGTTCTGTGATGTCCGGATTGTGGCTGTTGTTGTGACTGAGCCTGATGTTGCTGCTGTTGTTGTTGTTGTTGCGGAGGTTGTGGCGGCGCCGGTGGCTGTGGTTGCTGTTGCTGCACGGATTGTTGAGGTGGTTGCTGTTGTTGTTGTTGTTGCTGTTGAGGGGGTGGTTGTTGCTGCTGCTGCTGCTGCTGTGATGCAAGAGGACAACTCGGGGAAATTGCGTTCGGACTGTTCGTCGCTGCAAAGAGAAAAAGAAAAAAACATACAAATTGAAAATCTATTTTCGATTTCGCAATTTATATCGTTCCAACATCCAAGATCAATATTTAATAAATATCGGTTGCGTTATCGTACCTTGACTTTGCTGAGACATTCTGCGTTCTTGAATGATCGCCACGTCTTCCCTGGTCATGGTTCTGGGCAACGAACATACGATGAAATTTTTGTACAGAGAAAAGTAGAAAATACCAAAGGATAAAGAAAAAACGAACCTGTATCCCATGTCCTCGTCATACTGGGTGTTAGTCGGTTGTTGTTGCTGAAAGACGGATTGCTGTTGGGTGGCTGAGGCAGGCGCAAGGCTCCTCGATATGTTGCTCCCATTGCTCAACACCTAAGTTGAATATCAAGCAGTTACTAAATAATATATATCCTGATCGACGTTGATCGATAGTTAGAAGTAGAAGCGCAACGACTGGTATACAGTACGCGTTAGCTGATGCTTTTCTTCCAATGTTCGTTTTTGTTTCTACCGGTGTAAACTCACATCGAGCGCTTGCAGCATCGCTCTGGCAAATGCGTCGGCGTCGTCCTTACTGGAGAAATTCAGACCATATACTTGCTTGTTATCTCGCCATTGGTGAAACGTGACTGTCGCCTGATTGTACTTCAATCCCTTGAGGATCGCGCAGTTGATGACGATCTCGTGATCCTGCAACTTTCTTCCCACCACGCGGAACGTATTGTTCACCTGGTGATGATATAACTGTACTTTGGAAAGTCCTGAGGAACTGCCACTCGGTACCCATTTTTTATTAACGTCGTCATATACCATTACCGACGCACGAGCGGACGATATGCTCACTTCGCTGAAACATAAGCAGAGGCACGTTTTTTCTCTCTCGTGATACATATATTTATCTGTTGCGGCGTTAGAGTCTGCCGCTTATTTTCATGAAACAATCGAAATATAGCAAGGAAATGCTACCACGATCGATATTCTTCCGGAAGGAATTGTTGCGGTCGACGGGAATACGAGTATCGCCTCATCGTTTTCCTCGTTTGTTGGGGGGATCGCGTGGATATTTGTCACTCATACGATCATCGATCGAGAAATCGCGAGATTTCGTGTAAAACGTTACGTTCGGTCTCACTTTCACCGTGCCACAGGCCACGTTAAAACAGCGCAGAGTCGTTCGCGAAATGAGAACAGAACGAAACGGAATACTAAAAGATACTGCCACTTCCTTCTTTGCTCAGCGCGCGATCAGACAAGGCTGGCTCGAGATAAGAGCCGGAGTAGTATCCGCGATACGCGTTGGTTTTTTCAGTTTCACCGTACTCGTTGTTCCGTGACTCTTTTCGAAGTTTTATTGCGAGCATACGGATTCACGAAAGATCGTTGACACTGACAGAGGGATTAGTCAGAACAAGAAAATACCGAAGCGTTCGATTATCGATACAATATATCGCGTAGGAAGCGATCCTGATAATAAATCTCTTCTTACAAAATACGAAATTGGGAAAGTTGTTGCGTGCGATTGAATGTAGAAAAATCTCAGAAAAGGAACTTTAACTTAAACGATCTACGTGTAGTTAAAAATCTCTATCGTAGAGAGGAGACAGCGTTATTCTTTCGCGTTATTTGCGTGCAAGTGGCAGAACAGAGGTTCGCGTCACTAGCCTCTCACGATCATGTTACGGTGTAACCCTTTTAAAACGATTCCCTTTCTTCTTGTCTTGTGTTAACTCACACTCTCGCTTCTCACTTTTCTCCCTCTCCCTTGATCTCTCTCTTAGAACAGCAGATGCTTTCAGTTTCTAAATCTAATTAAAAATGTAAAGCAAAATTTAGCGTCAAATTGCAAAAAAAAAAAAAAGAAAAGAAAACGTACGCACGTTTAGACGTTAGGATTTAGCCAAGTGCAAATTGCTTCGAACGTGAATCATAATGTGACTCACTGATCGGCATAAGTATGTTATCGGGTAAATTCATTGATATCTTTTTACCGTGAAATAGTAAAAACGTGTGCCGAGGTGAATGAATCAGTGATGATCGCAATATTCTTCACTTTATTGATATTTCTTTACTTTATTAGGATTTTGTACGAAACAGAAGATTATTTTGCAAGGAGGAATGATCGAGAACTTCGAAACTATTGAAAAATTTTCATCGTACGTACGTGCAACAGAACCCTTGCCTAACATAAACAAATATGCATGCAATGAAATTTTTCGTCTAACGCCAATTCATATCGGACGTGTGTACACGAGTTTGGATAAGGGTAATCCGCAGGAGCGTGAATAACGTTTTGCCCGGACGTGAGAGGAACACGGTACGAGCAAAAGAAGTTCCATTCGCGTTTATGATACACAAAGGCGTCGAGACGCAAGATTTGGAAGCATATCAGAATATCATCCGGACAAGCAGGACTAAAAGAGAACCGATGAATGCGTGAATGGAATACTCGATTAGTAGGGATGCAACCGGCGAAGGTGAAAGAGCTGACACGTTTCACGATACACGATAAGAGGAATAATCGTAGGGCCGTACTCTGGATGACTTCCAGCGCGTACAGGTCCTTTTCGAAAAGTTTGAATGTCGAACGCAGGCATTACGTTTTATCGATACAGAATGGGAATATATCAGTAGCGGAGGGTAGTGATAAATATTCGAGCTATTGAACGTGTCTGCCGGCAACCCACGGGATAAACAACGGTGGTCAGAGACCAGGAGAAGCGGTGCTTTGAACCCATGTACCGAACTCGGCTCGATTTTGTACGACTCGACCATCTCTCTCACTCGATGCTGTATCGTATACGTGGAACTTACTTCATGTTTGTTTGACTCGGAAGCGTATGCTATGTCTTCATGCAAGCTGTATTTCTGCTTCTGCACAGTATGTCACCGATTCCATGAAAACACGCGAGATTCGGGCAGGATTTGCGGTAGTTCGACATAAATAACGTACGGCACTAACACCACCCCAACACCCTACCAATGCACATCTAGCCAGCCATATTGCCGACCGACTCCAGGCCCACACTCCTACCACCTTTCGTCGCGATGCACACGTCTATCTAGAGGGAATACTCGAATTGCAAGCGTTGGTACACTCTACCATTTCTTTTCTTTTTTTACTCTCTCTTTCTCCCTTTCTCTTTCTCTTTTTCACATATCCCCCTTCTCCTGTACCTTTTTCTCCATTCACGAAAAAAGGAGATGAAAGAGAAAAATAAGAAAAAGACAGAAAATTTCGGGAACATAAGTTAAATCGATTCGTTTTAATTCGGCCGACAAGATAAATAATCTAACTATTCGTCTCTTAAAAAAGAAAAAGAAAACGAGGAAACATTTATTCGTTCTGGAAGCAAATACGAATAGCAATTGTTGAAATATTACGTAATTTCATAATTCGATTATCGATCAAAGAAATGACTGGAATTACTTCAGAACTTATCGTTATCGATTTATCGAGTATTAATCGACGAATTTAGATGTGATTACAATGACGCAACAAACGTAGGAGTATCGAGCGGTTTGAATCGATTATTTCTAGAATGTCCTAGATCGGAATTCTTGAGGAGAAAGTTGAAACTGAAGGCATATGAAACGAAACAAAAAAGAAAAAAGAAAAAAAACACGTATCTGTTAGTCCGTATAAAAAATTCTCTGTTAACGCGTACGAAAAATAAAATATCGTATCGGTTTTACAAACGTGCTTATACGAATGCGTTTTTCATTCGACTAACAGTTTGTCATTTAGCACAAGCGATTCAATCTGGGAGGACGTTGTGCATCAGTTCTGTTCGAAATGGACGAAATTTGGAATTCGTACGAACCGCTAGGCGAGATTAATGGTAACGTTGAACATCAGATGGCGCGACAATTTAAGTTCCACTTGAATACACGGGAGTTTCCACAGGCCCTGTCGCCGACGCACCTGGCGCATCGACCGAGAAACAGAAACAGCTGTCTGTTCGAAGCAACTTGGGAGAATATCGTCCGTTAATCGTCGATACAGAACTGTGTGGATCTTTGTTGCGTTATTCGTGGAATGTGAAGTAACGAAGCCTCAGGGTATTGTGCCTGTCATCAAACGCGTACCAGCCTGCCCCTTGCTTCACCGCTCTTTATCGCTTTAGGCGGTAGCTTCGACGATAACGTGCTTGCCTTTTATTTTTCCGATTTCTACGATCCGGAACGTTTTCCCCCCTTCCTCTTTTCACCCTCTTGCTCTTTCCGTGTCCCCACTTGCTCATTTCTCGCGCTCTCTCGTCACTCTGCTTTTCTCTTTCTCTCTTTCTCTCTCTTTCTCTGCTTCTCTCTCGCCAGTTCTCCGTCTCTCAGTCTTTCGATCTCCTTCTTTCCTACTCACAGTTGCTCTCAAGATCTGCGTGTGCTTCGTCAACGATGTAAACAGACTGATATTTTTTGGTGAAAATCTTCGTGTTTCTGCCACGATTCATCTTCCCATGCGATTGTCCGTTGGTGTTGTTGCTCCGATCGCGGCCATGCGTGCACAGATATGACTCGCCTATAGGTGAAATACGCGCGTATCAACAAGCAGCGTTTCCTTCGATGACACTGTCGTTGATCGGTGACGATTCCTGGGGCAACAGTTGAACACATTTGGGGGGGAAAAAGGTACACGGACTTCTCCGATCGTCTCGATTTCACCGTTGATGCTCGTTCCTTCTACGAGGTTATAGATAAGAATTCTCCCGCGCTATGGGACACGGGTGGGAAAGACGTAGAACGTTGGATGAGAAATGAAGTTAAGTGACCTTAAAGTGCGGAGATCGTGATTTTAACGAATGGCTCGAGTTTTTGTTTTGGCGATTGTGATGTTAATTTGCGCAGAAAGAAATTTTGGAAGAGGATTTCGAAGGAGTCACCTTTAATTCTACTGTGCTATAATTTCATTGACAATGTTCCATAACCTTTTGTTGCATTTTCTTCTTCTACTTATTTTTTGTATCTTTTTCTCCTTCTCTTCAGCATGCTAATTGCTTTTTTTTTTAATTTTTCGTTTCAATTATATACAATAATCGTTATGACATAATAACTTGCATTTATTCTTACAGTGGTATCAGTGTGAGCAAAGCGTAATCCTTGTGCAAGGACAATGTAGGAACTGTTGGTTGAAAGTGCCAAGTAATTATGGACACTCTGGTGAAAAATTTGATAGTTATGCATTAAGCATATTAGGGATATGCCTTGTACGATCAGGAAAGGACTAAATGAGTGAACAAAATTATAAGGAATGATATTCTCTTTGAGTCTATTGGATGTTAGATAAGCTAAAAAATGTCTGGTGACTCAGGATGGAATGCTGTTATTCACCATCCTTCAGAATTAGAATTACAGAATTGGAATTGGGAAGAAAACGATGGGGAGCAAGAAAGGGAGCTCCCTTCGACTGTTGATATGGATGCTATAAAAGGTGGTGGTAGTTGGGATCCGACTACTGAACCTAATGGTATTAATATGTTACATTAGTAGATTATGTAACTGTTCTTTGGCAATTTCTATCTTAATGTACTGTAGTACAAGAATTTTCTTTTTCTTTATTTCATGTTAGGAACAGATTCGGTTGATTCCGAAGAAGACTCAGATTCTGACGACGAAAGTTCTGGAGGTACGGAAGGTAGTTGTTCTTATTCAAATTCAGATTCGGATTCAGACGACGAAAGTAGTGGCGACGAGGAGGAGGATACAGGATCCAATTCGGATTGTACATCGGAACACAGCGAGCAAACATTTTCCATTCAAAAAACGAATTTTGAGCCGGTATGTATAGTAGAATTTTATAATTTTCGTTAATACCTTAAAGATTTATGCACTGAAAAAATTTGTAATTATATTACAGGGAGCTCTTAAATTAAAAATCAGTATGAAAGGTCCGAAAAAGGAGGATCTGGAAAAAGAAAAAGGCAGAAGAAGCGTACCGAAAAAAGTTAAATCGAATCGCGGAGGAAAGGTAAAGAGTCGTTTTATTATAATTTCAGTTGAATTTTCTTTTAGAGACATATTAGAGATATATTTTACGTGTGTTTTTCATTTAGTCGTCTGAATGCAGCAGTGACGATTCCGATTCCTCAGAAAGTCGCTTACCCTCACAACACATGCAGCAACAACAGCAACAAACGCAGCAATCTCAGCAACAACAACAATCTCAACAACATCCACCACTCCAAGAAATCAATCAGGAAGATCTAGCGGCAATTTTGCCGGATCAAGAACACGAAGATGCTCCGTTTGATGGATTTGAAGATTCAGAGAGCGGTCGGTTAGTATCGAAAGCTATCGAGCGGATGTCGCTCGGTGCAGATTCAGATACAAGCGAGAATGGTGATCAGAATCCTGTACCTGTGTATAGTTCCACTTTATTGCAACAATTTGTTGAAAAGACGGCTCTGTTATCAGAACCAAGGAAAAGGCGGAGTAAGTTAGGAAAAAAATTGAACGATTCGGAGTATCCTTGCGTTTCGAATGTGTCTCCGGACTCGGGAATTCAATCGGTGGATAACAGCCCGCTGCATTTGGCAATCAGCCCTGTGAGTCCTCCAGCACCGACACAATCGCCAGTGCAACCCGTTATCACAAAGCCAGCGGTAAACGTAGATCGCGTTTTATATCCACCTAAACGAAAACCCGGTAGGCCGGCGAAAACAGTTTCCACGCAGCCTCGTGGCCCAGGTAGGCCAAGGTTGAAACCTGAGATTGTAGAAAAGATTGAAAAAATAGAAAAGACGGAGAAAACAGCGAAAAATGAGAGAACTGAGAAGAAAGAATCCGCTCCACAACCAACAAAAGTCACAAAGGAAGAACCTCCTAAAAGAGGGAAAGCAAAATCTGCGCCACAGAAAGCTGCTGCATCTCGGGCAGACAAAGACGAAGAAAATAATTCGGCTAAAAAGTTGAAGGAGAAACCAGCTTGTCAAAAGAAACGAAGTTGTAACGTTGCCAAACAGTGTATACAAACGAAGATCACTGGAAAGAGGAATAATACTGGTTCCCCAGCGCGTATTAAGTGCCTAAGTAGAACTGTTACGAATAAGTACGGGAAGGAAGGAGTACAATGCAATGGTGGAACGTGTAAGAAAATGGGAAAGGATAAGTCCGGACCAGGGAACAAGACAACTTCGTTACGGCGACAAAAGCAATCGACTTGCGAGCGAGTTTCGAACGATAGGAAAGTAATCAATTCGAATAAAAAGAGTCTGAAGGAGAATAGGAGCAATACCGTTCCTTTAGCTAAGCGACAAGCATCGTTGAAGAAAAACGTCGCGCCGGTTACGCGACGTGTGTTGAAAGAAAATAAAAGTAGTAAGAAAGCAGGCGCTGGATTCGAAACGAATGGCGTTGGTGTTCAAACTCTGATATCTTTGCCCGTTGGTGAGGTACTAAAGGCCGAGAAAGTTGAAAATGTAACCAATAAATGCGACAAAGCGACGCAACCTATACACAATCATTGTCACAAACATCATCATCACAAGCATCGGAGACGATTACTATTGCCACCTAAAAATCCTATACGTATACATCCATGCCTCATACAAGAGTTAGAAAAATTGATCGATGAATTTTCCAGATTGTGCAGCTTAGGTAGGAACAATTCAAGCTCCGGGTATTCCGAGTTACCCCAGATTTTTCGCGTGAAGAAACTAACGAAAAAGAGGAAAGGAGGCGATGTTACCGCGAACGATGATCAAAAATTAAAAAGACGTCTCAAGAAAGAGAAGATACTGTCCGGAACGGATTCGAAGAACAGTATGAATGCGAATGCGAACTCGAATCCAAATGAGCAAAGGTTACCATTAAAAAAGAGACATTATCATGTATCCAGCCCTCATAGTTCACAAAGTTCAAATGCAAGCGGCACTGACGTGGCTGTCAACGAAGCGAACTCTACCGAGAGTCACATCGAAGAAGCAATCGAAGCTACTATAACGAGATACGGAGGTAGCTCTGCATTCTCCTTCCAAGAAGATTCCGTACCTGTTACTCCTAAGAAAAGACACAGGGATACCGAAGCTGGAAGCCCTGACAAATCAAGCGCAGCGTCTTCCGATTTGTTGGAAGAGAAACCGTTGAGTCAGATAGAAGTACAACCGCGTCGTAAAAAGAAAATCGTCAAAGATCTTCGCGTGACAGTTACAAAATTACCTGTCGAGAGTCATGGCGCATTGGAAAAAGCCGAGAAGACAGATAAGGCTGAGAAAGCTGATAGCAAAGCTGAAAAGTCTGAGAAATCCTCGAGTGATTCCAGAAATCTGAAAAGTCGCGCGGAAAAGAGCAGTAGGGGTGAGAAAGTGGCTACAGAGAAATTAATAAAAAACGATAAAAGTCAAGCAGATAAGATTGAGAAAAGAGATATATCGCCGGATCATGTACGCTTGGAGAAGAATATAAAGATCGACGCGGCAGAATTTAACGCAGTGGAGAGTTTTGACGATAATGAAGCAGCGAACGAGACTAAACCGTCACAAAATAGTCTCAATCCAAATGTTCCAAATCCGTTGAATTCCGCTGCTGTATTGGTTTTGACCAAGAAGAAGATGAGACGGCGTAAAGCTATAAATCGTACAGGCTTCCCGACGTTAAAGAAGAAAAAAAAGAGATCCTTGAACGCAAACGAGACGTCGACAGATACATCGAGAACCGTAGCTTCGACCAACGAAGATGGCACCGAAGCTGACGGCGAGAGTTCAACGAAAGAAGGAATCGAAGATTCAGTAGTGGATAGCAAAACGAGCGTATTGAACAACACTGAAATACAAGATGCATTTACCGAAGAGTCTTCTACTAAGCAGAGCAATAACAATCTTGTGCAAAATCGCGTTCAATCGAAAGCTGATCCGACTCCAAATCCAGATCCTAATTCACCAAAGTCAGAGACGAATGGTCACGTTCGTTCTGACGAAACTGTTGAACCTCGATCTGGCCAGTTAAGAGTCCGTAAGGATCTGGTAGAAATAGACAACGACAATGCATTGAGCAAATTATGCCCCGTTAAATTTGAGAAGATACAGGATTCAAGATCGTATGACGAAAATGCATCCTTGGAAGAGTCCCTCGAGAGATTCACTGCGAATCAACGCGTTGCTGAATTAAGCGAAGAGAATGTAAAGAGACTTGAACGCTCAAACTCTCAAACAAACATCAAAACAGAACATTCGAGCTCCTTTAATGGTAATCAGAAGAAACGACGAGGTTCCTCGAGCCCCTGTAATTTGATTCCTAGGAATATGAAGAGACTGCGTAGCTCTGGTTATGATACGGAAAATGACATTCTACCTAGTAATGACATTCTCAACGATGATCACGAGGTGGGGAAACACTCGAGTTCGACGCATACGAGAAAGAAGCAATCTCGGTGGAAGAAACGTTACTTACAGGGAGGCATTTTGCAAGAATATGGCAAAGACTTTGAAGGGAAAACGCGTAGTAGCATCGAAAGTAGTAATGCCATTGGAAGGAATAAGGTTATATGCGAAACAAATGAATCTCCATCTGCTGCGTTATTATCCGCTACGTATCAATGTGGCAAGCTTTTACGACAAAGAAAAATGCCGTTTCAGTTACCATATGATTTATGGTGGCTACATACACAATCTAGACTACCTGGCAGAGAATCAGTTCCATCATGGAATTACAAGTAAGCATATAGTTTTTACATTGTCAAATGTATCATCGTGTCATGAAACTATTTAATCATTTTATTCTTTTTTTATAGAAAAATTCGTACTAACGTATATTACGATGTCAAGCCCACTACACTTTACGAAGCGCAAGCTTGCGAATGTAAACCAGAAAGTGGTTGCGGAGATGATTGTATAAATCGCATGGTTTTCAGCGAATGTTCTCCACAGCTTTGTCCCTGTGGTGATAAGTGTGAAAATCAGAAAATACAGAAACATGAATGGGCACCGGGTTTACAAAAATTCATGACAGAGGACAAAGGTTGGGGTGTGAGGACTCAACAGGCCATCAAGTCTGGTGTCTTTATCCTTGAATATGTTGGAGAAGTGGTGTCTGAAAGAGAATTCAAATCAAGAATGGCGACCAGGTATATTAAGAGCATGTATGAAAATCTCGTACAAATATATCTATGGAAAATCCAAATTCATATTCTTTTGTTTATTGTAATAGGTATGCTAATGACACACATCACTATTGTCTGCATCTTGATGGAGGTTTGGTAATTGATGGTCATCGTATGGGTGGTGATGGAAGATTCGTAAACCATTCTTGTGAGCCTAATTGCGAAATGCAAAAGTGGAGCGTTCACGGTCTTCCGCGAATGGCGTTGTTCGCTTCTAGAGACATTAAACCAGGAGAAGAACTGACATATGATTATAACTTTGCACTTTTTAATCCATCTGAGGGACAAGAATGCAGATGCGGTAGTAGTGCTTGTAGAGGAGTGATTGGTAATGATACAATATTTTATGCACTAATCCTTTTTCTGCAATTTATTCACTGCAGTATTTTATGTCTTGTTCTTCACAGGTGGAAAGAGTCAAAGAGTCTCAAAAAGCATTACTTCCATTCCATCGCAATTAGAACCCACAGAGAGGCGGTCGGTTGGAAGACCGAGGAAGAATGTAAGAAAATCTAATACGGTGCAGTCTGTGAACTCGAAAGGCATTTGTAAATCTCGAAAAGTTGGCGATTCCAGTTTGATTCATGCGCCTGTGCTAAAACCTATGTCCCATCAACAACGATGCTTTGCTCAGCAACATCATTGCTTCTTGTTAAGAAATTTAGAAAAAGTCAGACGAGTTAAATTGTTGATAAATCAAGTACAAATGCAAAATGGCAAAGTGAAATGCGGTAACGCGATAAATATAAAAGAAAAAAGTTCAGGAGACGCTAAAATTCAATCTGACGCATTCTTCTCACAATTAACTGCTTTGACTAATACAAATACCCGAACCGTACGAACTCGACGTTTAGCTCAAGCTCAAGATGATCCAGAAGTGCATAAAACTGCAAAATTGGCCAAGGTAGGACACGTTTATGGTCTTTTTATTCATAATTCATTATTTTTTTACGTTTATTCATTCACGATTAATCTTTAGGTATTGAAAGATTTATACAGTATCGTAGCAACTGCAAAAGATGAAAATGGACAATTATTGTGTACGCCATTCATCACATTACCTTCAAAGAGGAAGTTACCTGATTATTATGAAAAAATATCAGATCCTATAGATTTGACAACTATCGATCAGTGTATTGGTACAGGTCACTATAAAACTGCAGAGCATTTTGATCATGATATGATTAAACTTTTTGACAACAATGTAAGATTTTTTGGGAGAACCTCGGAAATGGGTATTGCCGCAGCTAGGCTTAGAAAGTTATACTTAGGAAGCAAGCCCGATTTCGTGGATGCAATAACTGAAGCAGTGGGTTGTCCTCCATCTCAAGGCTTTTTACCTCCTCGTGGTTCAACTGCAGGCGAAGAAGATGTTATTAGGTGTATTTGTGGTTTGCATAGGTATGCCTGAATTGTAATTTTTATTGTAACTTAATCTGTCCGAACTTTTCGTAAATGTTATCTCATGATCATAGGGATGAAGGCTTAATGATTCAGTGTGAACGTTGTCTCGTGTGGCAACATTGTGATTGTGTTAAAGCTGACACTACCATAGAGTCTTATTTATGCGAGAGGTGTCATCCACGCCCTGTTGATTTGGAAATTCCATTAGAAGGTGATGAGGAAGAAGAAGGCAAAAAGCATTATGTTACCTTGATGCGTGGTGATTTACAACTTAGACAGGGAGACACAGTATACGTATTAAGAGATACACTTGAAAAGCATACATATAAAACCATTCAAAAACCTGATTATGAGCAAATGGACATCTTTAGAATCGAGAGACTTTGGAAAAATGCGGAGTAAGTTATTGCATATGCATTAATTTATTGAAAATTTTCCTAAAAATTTATATTTGTTTCTCCGATCCAATAGAGGTGAAAGATTCGTATTTGGTCATCATTATTTGAGACCACACGAAACGTATCACGAACCAACCAGAAAGTTCTATGAGAATGAAGTCGTATGTGCACCACTTTATGAAGCCGTTCCATGCGATTTGGTTGCTGAGCGCTGTTGGGTTCTCGATCCTCATACGTATTGTAAAGGTAATAATTCTTTCTTATTTAATTCTATATTAAAAATATTTTATGCAGAAATATTTTCAAAAATATTTTATTATCTTTAATCAAGGACGGCCAGTTGGTTCTACACCAGAGCATACTTACGTTTGTGAGTATCGCGTCGATCGTGCAGCACGATTATTTACAAAAGTTGCCAGAGCTAGACATCAGGTTTGCACAAAACCTTATGCATTCGAAACGTTTCCACAACGCATTAAGCATTATCGTACATATTTGGTAAGTATCAAATTAATATAAAAAGAAAAAGTGCCGAATAGAAACTAAAACTTTTAAAAATTATATACAGCCGCATAGTCTTGAAGGAATTCAAATTGGAGGTAAGATGAATAAAGAGAAAAAGAAGGGTAACAATCAAGATGTTGATAATAATCATAAGTCCGAATCAAGTGAAAATACAAAAACGCACATCAAGGATCAACAAAAATCTTCTATGAGTAAAAGTAGACGAAAATCAAATGAAATTTTATCCATTGTTACACCTACAACATCGTATGCTCAGGTAATGTTATGAATCAGTATCATGTTCAGTGGTAATTCTCATATTTGGTTATAATTATATTATATAATATGTTATATTAACATGTGTTATATTAATTATGTTTAGAGAGAAGAACAAAGAAGAAGATTGAACAATATTTTAATCGCTTTATTACAAAAAATGCCGAATAAAAAGGATCCTTTGGATTTATCATTTTTATTAGAGAGAAACAGACGAAATCGTAAGAGGCCAGGTGGATTAAATCCGTGACATTGGATTATACATGATCGATAATAAGAAACTATCTATACATATATGTGTTGTGTGTGTATGATATCTAGAATAGACAGATGCACGCACACACACATATAGGTACCACAGAGGTAATAGATGCCACTCCTAATTTCTATTGCAGTCAAATCTGTAATGAGGGTGGTTGATCGATCGATTTTTTCATTTCGCTATACGTAATCGATATCATCTAATCTGTTTCGTAAGGAAAACGGTACATAATGCGTTTTCTTCTTCTTCTTATACTATGACCCGTCCATTCGTATAATTTAATCTTAAACACGAAGGCATCCTCCTCTCTAAGGACATTGTATCGGTCGAGATTTTTTTATATGGTTTTTGTTGTTTTTTATATGCTCAAAACTATAGAAAATTGTCTATTGTCTTTTGGCATCGTTTTGGTATTTTAAACTATCTTCTTCGCTCACGTTGGAAGTTATTAAAATGGGGAAATTGATAAATTCGAATAGAATGGTGAGGAAATGTTCGATACCTTCTTTCTTTTGGAATATTCCAAATGTTGTGTTCTATAAAATTTCTAAAAATTTCAATCGTATAAAAAGTACAATTTGTTTTCATAAAATGAATCGACTCGAGTTGAGAAAATTAAATCCCGTACGTGGAAGAATATGTCTGAATCTAACGAGAGCTATTATTTCCAATATAATTCTAATATGATTAGAATTGCAAAATTGTAAAAAAGTAATTTGTAAATTTCTTTCATAGTGAATATACTTAAGTGTACAAATTATATATTACTCGGGATTGAGGAAAATGACAACAGCACACAAGAGAACGCTGAAATAAGAAAAATCGAATACATGCGCGAGGCTTTATTGCACAAAAGTACCATTATATTTTTCATAATCCCAGTGTTATTTGAATTAAGTGTAATATATAGGTTTTTAAATTAATAGATAAAACTTTACTAACATATATAAATATATAAATATATAAATATTTAATTTATTAATTATTGCGATGGAATATAGCTAGTTGTTGCTATAACGACGAATATACGCAGGATTTCGTATTTATTATTACATTATACAATTAGTAAATACATATTATTAAAAGCTATTTAATATGTATAAGTCTCATTTATATCATATGTTTCTACGTTTTTGCACAGATGTCCGAGACATTTTTATTAAATGAAAATTATATATTATATCCTATTTTGTTTTCGGTGTAAGTTGGAAGTATACCAACGTAGTATAATCATACCACAAAATCATGTAATGGATCTTTTGTAGCATGACAAAAGGGGGTGCCTATCTTTATACTAAGTAGAAGTTAGTGAATTGAGAGTAGGATTTTAAATTTGTTTATTCTTTCGAAGGATTTTGTGAATGATTTTTATGAGTGAAAAATTTTGTACTATGTTTCTTTATACAAAATCAATGTAAATCGTTTTTTTCTTATGCAGAAACGAGATTAATAGTACAATGAATGTCTCGAATAAAAGCATATTATTTTTTTCTTTTTTCTTATTCTTTCGACAATAAATCATGAACCGTTGATATTATTTTTAAATATAAGTCATGCAGATTTATCTATATGAGAGGCAGCAAAGAAATTAGAAGAGCTTACGGTTTATCGGTTATCTTGCACGATAAAATATCCGCGCAATTACATAAAATGCGTTACAAATGTTAGATAAATTGTGTCGCATATATGTAAATCACATTGAATTAATTTAAATCCATATTTATAGATTAATAAAGTCAACATAATCAATTATGTTGACCATTACATTAAGCGTGCGTGAAGACTGATTTACTGTTACAGGATATTTCTAGCAGGTAATTGCGCTGATTAAATCTGGGTTGTAAATAATTTAAATTCTAAATAAATAGAAGATATTTTTTATTTTTACGAATAAGTTTGTACACTTCTGTCAACAAGTAAATTCTTCGATTACGAACTAATTCTGCGAAATTATTCTTATTCGATTGTATATGAAAAAAAAACAAATTTTGTTCATTGACTTACGATTTAATGTTATTACATATTATAATTTGATCTTGGTCGACTTCGAATCGTGGTAATGTGCGACGAAGGATTTCTTCATACTTTCAATTTCTACTCTTACAAATTCATCTTTTTGTATTTTGTTATTGTTCAATATTCAAAGAACCTTAATTCGAAGTCTCGCAAACTGTACAAAGTATTTTAGAAAAAGGAGGTACAAAGACAATCATCCTGTAACTATGGTTTTTCAGTACTATTGAAGTAACAAGCATAAACTAGAATACCATGCTTTATTTGTAAGTTTATGCAACAAAGAAAAATGTAGCAAAATGAAGAAAAGATAGACTAAGGATGAGAGGAAACGGAAAAGAAAAATAAAGAGTTAACGACTAAAATGAAAGACGTTTGGTAATAATGAGAAAAAAAGAAGGAACAGGAGGAAGTACGTCGGGTAACAATCGCATATTCTTGATAAAGTAACGTTATAAAATATAACATCTAATTCGAAAATATCATTTGGTGATCTTGTTAATTCAATAAAATGCGCGTACATATAAATCAAATTCAATAATAATTTATTCGTGATACGATATTTTCCTTTTTTGTACATCATCATTAGAAAGTTAAAACAAACTCATATACAATATCACTCTCGTGTTTTTGTTGGGAACAAATATCTTTTTCTTTTTATTACATGGTATTTTTAACTATTAATATATAAACAGACTTCCAGTAAACGTTTTGTGTAATACGTTTGAAAATCTGTACATATTTACACGTTTGTTTTGAGAGCGATAATTCATTGCAAGTATTTTAATCTTAATGCTAATTGTATAATATACCCATACATGACATTCTTCCTCTTGACCGATTTTTCGATGAAAAGACGTTACAAGATGTTATTCATACGTTACCCCCTTTTTGATTTAAAATGATTTAAAAACTACGTATTTAATATGAATACGTTTTCTTCGTTACGTGCTTTGTTCCGATGATCAATCTCCAATCACAATTACATAATATTACAATTCACGTAATATTGCATTTTGCAACGTAAAATAATTTCATGTGGTGCATGTGTAACGGTGCCTTCACTCGACAAAATCTAAATTGTTGCTCGAGTTATAAAAACGCGACAGATAACTTTGGAATCGTACATTGAAAATATACGAACAAAAAATTGTAAATATATTGTCGTGGAAAAATTTGTCCATCTATTTATGTGTGATCAGTACCGGTGCTCGGTATCGACAACACTATGATCTGGAGTTTTCATATTTTCCTCGTCATTTTGGACGATAAGTCTATGTCCCATTGTGGAATTGTTAGATAAAGCAGTTGTGCTTTTCATTCTGCCTGGAAAAAGAAATATACACGCTGTCGTACGAGAAATATCATTTGTATGACAATGACAAGATAACAGAATGAACGACAAAAATTATATATATATATATATATATATATATATATATATATATATATATAAAGATTATAAAATAAAACTTGTATTAATCACACTCATTTTCCCGATGCAATAGAATATAAATCAAAGTTATCAAATACGATTTTTCTCTACTTTGACTTCAATTCTAATTAATTTTTTACGAGCCGCATATTTATTTAATAGAACTCGATGATATTTGTGTATCTTACTATTCCACTCTCGTGACATAAATCCTAGTCGATTATTGTTTATTTGTAGTCTGTCCACTAGTTGTAGTTTGTCCGCTCTGTTGCTGGCCCCAATACTGATTATAATACTGCTGATTCCAACTATTCCAATTTCCATTACCATAACCTTGTTGATTATAACTGTTTTGATGACTGTAGGATCCTTGTCCATAGCTTTTCCAATTGCCCCATGGTTGTTGTGATCCCCAATTATTTTGTTGGCCCCAACCTTCTTGAGATTGGGCACTTGGCCAGTTGCCGTGTTGACTCCACATAGATTGTTGTGATCCTTGATAATTTCTTATGAGAGAATTAAGTTACCATTATTAAATTCAATCATAAAAAATTAATAATAAAAAACTGGAAAACTAGAAAATGTAATTACCCTATTGGAGCTCTTGATCGTGAACCTTGACGAGCTCGACCTCTATCGTTTCCTCCTCTTCTATCACTATTGCCACCTCTTCTACTCATTCCTCGGTGTACAAGTGGAATAGGTACCCCTCTTCTTCTTCTTGGCATCGGAGGACCATAACCGCTACCGTGTCTTATGTGTCCACCTCCTCTTTGTGGTCTGTCTCTCCATCCCATGTTACCTCGCCAAACAGGATTACGGTTTCTGTCGGGATCTAAAAAACATTCACTTTTTTCTACTTGTTCTTTTTAAATAATTTAATTAAGATTCTTACAATTGCTTCGTCTGTCACGATAATCTCTGTTGTCGCGATTACTTCTTATGTCACCTCGACTTTCATGAGCGTTTTCTGATCTCGAATCATTGCGTGCTCGTTTAATTCTTTGTCCACCATAGCCTGCATCCTTCCCTTCTTTATTGTATTTTTCTATAAGTTTTTCACCTTCTTCCTGATTAAGCTCGACCCAATCGACAACATTGAAAGATTCACCAACAATGGGAGCTCTGAAGTTCGCTGAAAAAAATCAATGCATATACACATGAGTTATGCTACTAATTACAATATATATCTTATTATAATCATAAATAAAATAAAAACCATAATATTAGAATACCAACCTTTCATCTCTAAAATCATAGAATCAGTAATTTCCTTGCCATCTATTGGTTTATGTTTAGCAATGCGTGATTTAAATTCTTCTTCTGATGGAACTATAACTACTGCCTTTCTTTGATATCCACAGAAATTCTTCAATTTACGTCGTTGTGCGGAAGGATATACATTTGTCTGTATTTCATTTTATAAAATATAAGTCGCGTTAAATTATGTTTTATTTTAATATAAATAAATAAATACAGTGAAATACATACCTGATCTAATATATAATTACGTCTTCTGCTAGAAGCCATTTCTATCAATCTGTCCAATGCGTCGGTACATTTACCGATAAGTATTTTCCATTGTTCATTATAGCCTTCTTTTTCAGATAATCCAGGATCCTTAAAAAATATATTTTATCAAATTATTTTAAAACATAGAATATGCATATATAATAATATATTACAACGTTTACGATACATACTTTCATTTTATTAATTAGACTATTGAGTCCTAAGATGTTGTACATTTTTTGGGGATGTTCAGTTACATATTGCATTGCCCAAGTAGTTTTCCCACAAGCAGGTAATCCGCACATCATTATTATTTCACATTCGTCTTTTTTTTCTGGTCTTCGCGGACCAGGAATTTTATATTGAGATTCCACATTTCCAATTGAAACGTAATCTTGCAAAATTTCTTCTGTCCATGGTGTTTCTTGGCCAAAATTGCAAGCAAAACTGCAATTTTTACTTAAAATATGTGGAAACAATGGTTTGTCACTGAGTTCCTCTTTAGAGATATTAAATGCTATGCCTTGATCTTTTCCATTAACAGTATAAGACATAACAACATTTTCAGATGTTGCATCCAAATAACAACCGATAATGTCGTCTTTTCCAAATTCAAGTCCATAATCTTCATATTGGTTATCCGTCAATTTTTTACCAGTGCTGCTATATCCAAAACTAAATTTTTCCTCTCCAAGTTGCATTGAGGTGTAAGGAGTTGACCAACCAATTCTGAGTACATGCGGATGATCTTCGTTTTCTGCATTAACAGTACAATGTTCCACTATTTTTGCTTCATAGTAAACCTTCCCACAAAGAAATCCATAGGATGCTCTTGCTCCAGCCCACATGTGCGAAAATCCATCATTGTGCATAGGCGTAGCGGTGAAATATCCATCCTTATCAATGACCAAATTTAAATCTGAGTCATCTGAAAATCAACAATAATAATTAAACAGCATTCAATAACAATATACAATTCAAATATTTTCATTCAATTTCCAACATACACCAAGATAAAATTAAAGCAGAATCATCGATTTCTGGCTCATTTTCGATGAGAACTGGGGAAGGTGAATCATGTCGATCTTCTACAGGGCTAGGGGATCTTTTCCGTTTTCTGTCCTTGACAACGTTGTTCGTATCTTGTTCTTTCATATCTACATCTGTATCTTCTTCATGTTTAATTTCAGACATTTCTATATCCTTTCCACGTAAACGAAAATAGGTCAATGATTAAAAATAATATTTCCTGTAGATACAGTAAGATTTTTATGTAATAAAATGTAGAGGACGTAATAATTTTTGAAAAATATCCGCGATCTCAAACGTCCATCAACGAATTTTTCATCTCTCTATTCCAAATTTTATTTCCAAATATATAAAATTTAAAAAATTAAAATATAAATCGAAATTTATAGGCTTTTAATATTTAAATAAGAAACAAGTTCGTTTCAATTGCAGTCCTCTACATTTTAGTGAGATCGCGGATTATGCCGCATAAAATGCATAGCAGATAAAGCTAATAAACATTGTAAAAATACAAAAATGATAGATTCAATACTCAATACTGCTAGAAAAATCAAAGCGTTTTTTAATAAATTAAGTTTAAAATAACAGTACAAGCAATATATATATATTATAATTAATGATTAATTTATAAAATATACCTCTTCATCTTGTTTTTTCTCAATGCTACTGTCCATTTCTTTTTCACTAGTTGACAGGATTGTTTTATCCTCTAGTAATTCCTCTTCTTTTAATTCATCATTTTCATTGATATCTATGTCTTGATCTTCTTCAAGCAACTCATTTATTTGTTGTTCTGGGTCAGGAATGTCTGTAGTTTTAGTATCATTAATAGATTCTACAATATGGTCATTATCTATATTTTCTATAGATTCTATATTTTCCTCCTCATGTTCAACATCTGTATCTCTTTTTGTATTTGTATCTATCTTATCACGTGCATCATTAATTATGATTGATTTCTCATTTTCTTGTGCTTCTGTAACAGTGTTCTGACTTTCTTTTATATGTATGTTTTCTACTGTTTCTTGAGTCAGTTTAATCACTGTTGATTCTTGCTTTTGATCTGTTTCATCTTTGTCATCTAATGACTCTTTTGAAACTGATACATCTGTATCGCTATAATCAACTGGTGATTTTACAGGGCATACTTGTGAAATATTTATATTCTTTTCATTTTCATCAACGTCTGCATTCTTTACTTCATCATCTTTTATAACTTTCATAGAATTGATATCTTTATTTTCTATACTTAGCAATAAATCTTTTGTTTCTTCTTGTTCATCCTTTTTAGGTGATAAAGGCTTTTCTTCTTGTACTGGAGTTACTTCTTGTACAATAGGTTCTTCCTGCGTGACTGTATCTTCTTGCATCGAACCTTCTGCTATGGCTTCCTCTGCCAAAGCAGATTCAGATATTGTAGGTGATGGTTCGCGAGACATGTCATTCTGATCTGCCTTCTTTGGAGATGTCCTTCTTCTGCTAGAATATGGGACTCTAGGAGTCCTCCTGGAGGACTTTTTTACAGTATCTTCCTTTGGTGTCATCACAGGAGCAGTTTTTGACAATCTACTAGACTTTTTTGGTGTCTGTGGTATTTTCGTCGATCTTTCATTTTCTTGCATTGTATCATCATGCGTGTCTTCTGTACTGGCATTTGCTTTTCCTTGATTTACTTCTGTAATTTAAAAACATTTATGTTGCAATAACACACGAAAAGGCAGAATATTAAGAAATATAATACTCGCATGAGATGCAGCGTTTACATTAAAATATTTATTTAGATAACAGATAACTTTGTAGTTCTATTCTAATCGCGAATATTCATTAAAAAGCCAACGACATGATTAAACTGAGGGTAAAACAAAATTTGCTAAATTCTAAAATCTATAAGAAACGTAGTGGCGTCGCGTACCCGTTCCACACGTAAACAGAAGAAAAGCGCGCATAGATCCCGTCTATTCGACACCGAAAATACTGAAACCGAATTCGTCACGATTATTGATTATTTTTAACAGCGATAAATAGGTTATCGCCTCCCATTTAATTATAATTTGGACAGAAAAAAATAATAGTACATGTTAGGCGAATTATTACTAGCTCGTTCGAATGTTTGTCAACATTAGAGTGTACGAATACATCGATCACGAGACGAGAGATATCGTACTTAGAAGAATTTCGGACGGAGCAAAATTAGAGATTAGAAAGAGAGTAACTTACGGTTTGCATTTTCCTCTTCTATCGCCTTACGAAGTCTCTCAACAAGCACTGACTTGACGCCTTTCGTATCGAGCCTACGCTGTGAGAGTTCTGTCCGTAATTCGGCCACTTTCAACTTTTCCAGATCCATTGCGTGTTATATTTCACGATCCTTGTTAATTCACACAGTCTTACTCGACAGAAAATCTTACGAGAAGCCCATACACGCGCCAGTGACCCGCGTTAAATATACAATATGGCGATACAACTGCAAACAACGCGTTACGTGTTGTAAATGGATTTTATTGGTCAATGTGGCATTTATTTGAATCAACGCCAACTTCACTGCTGATGGAATTATTTCTCCCCATTACAGTGGTAGAGCGTGGTAATTCTCATTGGTGCTTTGAAGGCGGGATTTTATCTAATTCGACAAGAGATTATATATGTACACGGGATTCGCAGAATCTGTTAGTTGCACGCAAATTTTTAACCTAAGTTGTCACGCCTGTTGGAACGTGTTATATTTTGAAGTTGGTGAAACAGAACAGAAAGAGGATGTTTGAAAAAATTCTTAGAAATTGATAGTCATTTATGATGCAAAAGAAAAAGGCTGTCTCACTGTGCTTGTTCTTTTATTTCTTTTCGATAATTGAATATATTTGTAATTGAAATTGTCGAACATATTTGAGATAGAATTATTGCGCCGTAACCTGAATCACGCAGCGAATGTAGCAGCGTGTTTGATATTGTTACTAATGTTTATCAAAGATTTATCAGATTTTCATATCATCTTTTGATTTTTTAAGGAATTATATTATGACAGCAATAAATGTGAACTGGTTGCATTCTGTGGAGGGGGAATCACTAATGCATCATTTTTATATAAACACATCAAAAAAAAGGAGATTTTATGGTAAAGAATTGTAGTCAAATAAATGACACTTTACATTATATTTTTTATTCGTTGATTATTTCTCTTTGTAAAATTTAGGTATTCTTGAAAGACCTCCTCTACCATCTTCAATTGAAGAAGTTACATATAAAATTTTTATGGTCGGAAGGTCTGGAGTGGGAAAAACTGCTGTTGTATCTCGTCTTGCTGGATTAGAAGAATTGAGTAATTATACAGAAACCAATGGGATCAAAAAGACTAATGTATTCTGGCCAGTTAAGATATGGGATAAAGTTGTATTATTTAAACTACAGTTTTGGGATACTTCAGAGACAAGTATCAAAAAATATAATCATATATTGCCTGTATGTGAAATATAAAGACAAGATACATTAGAGTACAATATCTAGAAGTCACATATTATTTTAAATTTTTAGGCATGTAAAGACAAAGTAGATGCTATATGTTCTGTATTTTCCTTTGATGATGCAACAGGATTCAATGATGTCCCATATTTGATGAATACAATGGCAGCTATAAAAGAAAAACCAGCAAACATAGTGATAGGAACAAAGTAAACACATGATAGAGTTTTCTTTTATTTTCTAGTAAGAATGATTGATTGATTCTTGATATTTTGTAGGTTTAAACCATGGTCCAGTTTTACAATAGAAGATGCACGGATAAAAGAATTTGAAGACAAATGGAAAGTTAAAGTTATTAGAATTGATATTAATAAACCTTCCATGAGGTCTGAAATGTTTGATTGTTCTTGTCAGTTGAATACTATTTGTAATATTCTTTGGAATAGAGATAAAGAATTTATATCTAAACAAATGGGACAAAACTAATCATTTTTTTATTGAATTTTTACGGTATTTCAAAGCATTTTTTTTTATAGAAGATTTAATAAAAGTAAACACTTGATAATTCTTTCTCATCGATTTTCCTTCTACTCGAGTAGAATAGTAATTCTGTTTTAACTTCAGGGTAGGAAATATTGTTGCTACATTATATTTAGGGATTTTGACTACTTAGAGGTTGCTAGTATTGAAGACCAACTTTACGACTATCACGTTCGTTTTTTGGTGGCGGCAAAGTTAATAATTGTTTCAGTTTTCACTTTTATTTTTCTTGAAACAAAAATTACAACACTTTGAAGATCTTGAAGGTACATATGCAGGTATGTTGCATGATATTTGTGATTATACAATACAATCGAGAGATCATGAGTAGCATTAGATTTGCATGTTTTAATATTGAGGTTATAGTATTTTAATATACCATTTTTATATTTTCTTAAGTACTGTTTATTATTAATAGTACTTGTAAATTTAAGAAAATTTTTGTATATTCCATTTGTTCGTTGATCACGCCATTGAATGATAAATTTTGATTGGCTTTTTTTTTATTATTATTCGCTTATGCGCTCTGAAGTATTGTTCAGTTTACAAGCGCGCGTAAAATAAAATATGCGTATGTACATTGATGGACTAGTGAAATTTCTATGACATTATATTTTTGTTTGTAAAATTTCATTTTAGACATGAAAAGCAACAAAGTTCTTTTAGTAGGGGCAGTAATTCTTACGTCGGAAATTCTTTGGTATTTGTATAGAAAAGTTTACAACCTGTGGAGTAATTACACGAACACATGCGAAGTTCTAAAAGTACAAATACCTGAATCCAGACAAAACATTTCAGAGGTCATGTTTTTTACGAAGGAATCTTCTCTTTGTCGAACACATTTGAACGGCGAAGAAGTTTGCTCCAAAGACAATTGTCCGGTTCAATATTTAAGGTAATGAGCGATTAATGATATTAATTAAAAAAAAGATATTTCTTTCAACAATGAATAAATTTAATATTGTAGAAAAATAATAAGTTATATGGATCGAGCAACGCGAAGTTTGGACGTCTGTATGTATTTTTTGACCTGCCAATTATTATCAAACGCAATTGTGAACGCTCATAAACGAGGTATACTTGTTCGAGTAATAATGGATCGACGTATGAGCTCTAATGGTGCTACGCAAACGATTTTATTTTATAACAACGGTGATTATTGGGATTTGTAATCGCATGTAATCATTTATTATGAACAACATTAATTCCTTTCTTCAAACTTCGAAATTATTTGTGTTTCAGGCGTTGCGCTCAGATTATCATACGAGGATAATTTAATGCATCATAAATTTCTAATTGTGGACAATGATCTGGTAATTACTGGTAGTACGAATTGGACTATGTCTGCATTTTTTGGGAATTTCGATAACGTGGTAGTGACTAACCAGCACTCGTTGGTGAGGCCATTCGTTGATGAATTTGATAGATTGTGGAAGATATTTTCGAAATCGCAAAAAGATGTAAAAGATCTGCCTTCAGCCTCTCTTCAATCTTCCTTCAATGACACTGTATAATCTTGTGAGTATCCGTTTTTCATTCTTACAATTTTTCCTTTTGATAGTTGAACAATTTCCGAATGGTATACTATATTTGTCGAATCTCTTCTTCCTGATACCTAACGAAAGACATGTTAGCGTCTGGAGAGCGCTCCTTTGACGTCAAAGAAACCGAAAGAGAGGTCGTAAAATTCGATGGTATGTTAGTAGTAGGAGGCACATACTTATGCGGGATATATACTTGTGAGATAGAACGATGGTACCGGTCAACATGTGAAATAGCAAGATGCAAATTGGTACGGTGTTTCGAGCAGCGATCGACGCGATACGTTGCGTCCCGACACGACATGACGTATGGTAACTTGCTGCTCTCATCGGCCGATAAAAGTGGAACATTGTCCGTATATATAAATAGGTTAGCCTGTATGAAAATAGACGTCGGGCTGTTGGACCGGAGGATCGATGACGAGATACTCGGCGACGAGCCGTCCGTTGCTTCAACTTTCTTTCCTTTTCTCTTTGCTTTGAGATTCACGGTCTTGGTGTGTCGTCATTACGCCTCTAAGATTTGTCGTTTCATTTTTTCTTTCTTTCGAATTTATTTTTGTTATTTTTATACTTTTGTATAAATTCTTAGAGTCCCTGGATTAAGACGACAAGACAAAAAATTTCACTTCTCTAAGTATAAGAAATCGTGCACGCACATCATATAGATGATTACGTAGTAGTATTTAACTAATTTATTTAATTTATGTATCATTTGAAATACCAATACCATTGAAAATATTTGGAGCCTAATCAAATCACCTGTTCACTCGTTTTTCGAAAACAGACGTTCCACCAGGACGTAAAGTTTAACCAGGGCGTAAAGACAACGCATAAAGGAAAGAATATGTAATAAAAGAACACAGATTATTAGCACGTGTATATATAACATTTTAGTAACATCACTATTATATTATTATAATATAATAAACTTTATTGTTAGAATTCGCTCATATCTCTCAGTTTTACTAAAAAAGTGAAAAACATTGAAAATTTTTAATGATCCTAATTACATGATCAGTAAAGTGTATGTAGTGGCTGTATAGATTTGTACCCGAACTGTACCCGACTGTGAAAAATATAATGGAATCAAATATAGATTCAAATATACCGTTCTCTAATTGTGTTTTCGCTATCTGATATTATTCTTGGATGTACGCAGGTAAACATGTTCCTACACGAGATAAATACATTCGCACGCTGTAGGAGAAATATGTAACTTGGGAAAGCAAACGATTCAGAATAAACGTGCGACGCGTGGAAATAGCAACGCGCAAGCCTGAAATATCCATTGTATCCAGATACGATAAAAGCCGAGTGCAGCAGTTTGACGTTTGCTAATATGCTTTTTCCTGGACCGCATCTACGTCAGTCTATCGATATTTTGGAAAACGTATAGCCTTTTGGCTTAATCGATCGCTGCTTGTTTAACTTACAAAAACAATTTTCGAAATATCGTTCTGAATTCCGCGAATCGTCTGCTTTTTTTCTCGAGTCGTGCAATAAATTTTCCGATTCCACTTCAGCTTCCACCGGATAAGTTTGAAGAAGAAATCCACGCACATGGCGTGCAAATTTTTCTCGTTAAATTCGAATTTCATCTCGTAAAAGAATGTTTTCTGTTCACGTCGATTCTTTTTTCTCTTCTTCTCGTCATGCTCGTTAGAAAGCGTCAGTTTCTTGCGCATCTGCTCGTGGAAACGATTCAGTACATAGAAAGCAAGTACAATACTTGACAAACGAAGAAAAATAGGCGGCTCCGTAGGTCAAGGGTGTATCAAATCGGACAAGTGGCACGTTCACGATGGCCGCGAGAGTCATGAATTCGGGAAAAAGAAAAGGTCAAAGGTCAAGTATTCCTCGATGGCCCTCTTAGTTGCTCTCTTTTCTATTTGAGACGCGGAGATTGAAGGACAACAAGAAAGAAAAATGTTTCGCGTAGCAGGTAGCAGGTTCGCTCGTTAAAACTCTGCGGGATATGCCACAAAATGCGAAACCAGCTGCATTTTTACAACCTTTTTTTTCCCCTAACCAAGGAAACAGATTTTTTTCAATAACCTTCGTTTGAATAACTTCCTTCTTTTTTTTATTTTGAATAACTTGTAGCTTGTTTAGAAGGGAGACAAAGAGTGACTCGAGGGAATACCGTGTCTCAAAAATTATTTGACAGATTATTTCAATTGTTTGTGTTTAATATATTTATTTCAATATATCGTTTATATAGAAAACATTGCTTCGCGTTAACGGAGGCCTAACGCGTTGTTAGTGCACATTTCTTCCCTTCTATCTCTTCTTAACGATTTTCTTTTTACAAGTTTGCTAATTACAAATTTCGCGTCGCGCGGTGGAGGGGGAAGAACTGCGTCGTTACGTATGTATAGCCTGATGTTCTGTGGTAAGATAGCTCTACCAAATTGTGTACCATCGACCATTTCTATATATTCGCTCCTTCTACCGATAAATTGCTAGAAGAATATATGCGCGCTATGTGTATACATACGCTATATCGTTTAATGACACTAAATACATCGCTCAATGTCTGTTCGAGTTCTTTTCAAATTCGTCCCATCCTCGCCTCCTTGATTGTTTTAGAATGTTCCGCGTCTATTGGTTTCTCTTCTCTAATTTCTTTCCTACACGATGGAACGAATTCTTCGATTTCACGCAAGGCCTCGTACAGTGACCTCTACCGGTTACCGTTCGTTAAATCTATATAGTATATAATTATCATAATGTAATAAATTACTAGGAAATCCGCAGTCATTATTGTCTCTATAGTCGACACCGAAAACACCGATCGCAGTTACGTTCGTATTCGCCGCAGTCTTAATGAATTTTTTTATTTCTCTCTTTCTCTTTTTCTCTCTCTCTCTTTTTTTTGTTCGTTTTGTATCACATTCGTTTTGTATTCTTTACTGGAAAAATGAGAGAATCGCCAATGTGATCTCGTGTTCGTCGCACTCGACTATTTCGTACAGTCTTTTAGGCAATTCTCGTCGTCGAAGATCTTCCACGCGAGAGGGATTGTACGAAAATGATGCTGGTACGTGAATAATATATACGTGTTCCGTGTACGCACGTACGTTTGTCGATAATTGGTCCGCTCATAGAGAAGATTGATGCAGCGAAGAGGATAGTGACGGGGAGGAGAATAGAAAGACAAGAAAAATGAAGGAATGAGCGTGCGCGGATGAGTTGAATGGGACGCGATGAACAGGAGAACGAAGAAGTAGAGAAGATGTGTAACGAGTTGTGGAAGATGATTGAGGGATTATCACACGTTTTCGCGTCCGTATCGGTCGTCGGTACGGAAACGACGATGCATCGTTCTAATGGAAGATCGAAGGCGAGTTGGTCGCCGTTCGTTCGAACGTTGCTTTGGCACATTGTAGAGAGGACGGAGCGTCTCCGTCGCGGGCAGCGTCGAAGCTACCGAAACTATACTTCCGTTCCTGACGATCGCTTCTAAGACAAGGCTCGCTAGAAGCTTTGACTATCCCTCACATGGTTTCTGTCCCGAGGCTACCAACGAAAGCTGGCTCCGCGATGTTCGAGTCGCACTGCATCACCCATTCCCAGATCCTCTTGGTAACCACCTTCTGATCGATCGTCGTTTCCAGGCCGTAACTGTTCAGAAGCTTTCTCAGTTTGTTCTTGTTCTCGTCGACGTTTCTCTGATCGTCCAGGATGGTGTCCAGGTAGAGTAGACTGTCGGCTCTCCTCGCTATTCCCTCGCTGGCATCCACCAACGTGGAAGTAGCGCTGTGACTGATCTTGTTCACGCACCACGAATCCTTCAGGTATTTGTTGATCTCGGTTACGTGCGGCCTCTTTTCAGGCTTGTGCTCGAACGTTCGCCTGAAGTATCGCAGCAGCCTGGGCGTGAATCGTCTGAACGTTGGCGGTACTTTGGTGGTCCTTCTTTTCAACCATCTCTGAAACGCCGAGTATTCCGGATCTTGGATGAGATCGGCCGTCTGCCACGGCGGGTTCCCGGTCAGGCAAACGAAGAGGACGATACCGAATTGCCAACAATCGGCGCTCCTCTTGCAGGCATACCTCTCGTTCTTTACTATTTCGCAGATCTCCGGCGGTTGAAACGGCAACCAGGTGCAACGTATTTTATTGACTAAAGTGCCTTCGCGTCTCGTGCAACCGAAATCGCACAGCTTGATCTTGGACATGTCCAGCGCGAACACCAGCACGTTTTCCAGCTTGATGTCCCGATGGGCCAACTGTTTCGAGTGTATGAAATCGAGAGCGGAGCAGAGCTGACTCGCGATCCTCTTGCACGCTTCCTCGCTCAATCCCCCGGCTCTCACGTTGCCCGCGAGATCTCCATAAGGGGCGTACTCTTGCGCGAAAACGAAGCACTTCTCCGCTTTGAACGCGACCGCGTACGAGCACAATATGTTCGGGTGCGGGCTTAAATGATACGAATAGTGAAACTCGCGGAAAAAGTCCTTCTCCGTAGTTAATTCTTGGTGGACGGCTTTCAGGACGACCCTGGTTCGCGTCGCTCGATGAGTCGCTAATAGAACTTTAGCGAAACTACCCTCGCCGAGCGTTTTCTCCACTTCATACTCCTTCGACAGATCCAACTCCTCCAAGGGAATCTCCTGCACTCTGTGTATTCCGGACTCCTTTTTCTCGTGAAGTTTCATCTGAAATCAGATCGGTAGATATTCGTATTAACGTCTTAAGTATTATTAACGAACTTTTTTTTTTCTTTTTTTATCGCTTCTATCCTATGCGCTGTTAAATTCTATTTTAATCTCTCGCATCGTCGTCACGCGCACACGTCAAGATCGATTGGTCTCCCTCAAGCTATTTCTTTCACCCTTTCATTGGCGTGTAATCGTAACGTTTAGTGAAAGGCCTTTCTATTCGTTTACGTCATCGATGCACACAACTTCGAACCATCATGGTGTCGCTCTTACGGCCGATCAAGCGTGAAACGCGTTTAGCACTTAGTTGGGTTTCCATCAGAGAGGGCATCGCACTCTCATCGCTGTGATTCAAGAATCGCCCTTGCCCTTGCTCGTTGAAACATCACCGAAGACAATCGGAATTGGATAAATTTTACATTTCTCTTTTTTTACATCTGAACGATTAACGAGAATTTTCTATCAATCACCTTTTTGTCGTTACTCTTTGCACGTTCGCAGAAACACATACTCGCGGAAAGTAATCGGATTATTTCTTAAAGTTCTAGGAACGATAAGACGGTTTTTTCTGTCCGCTTTCTGATCGAAGAGTCGCCGAAAAAATTCGAGGAGATATCGTCCTGATAGTTCGTGTAGGCGAAGGACGAAATATGGAGTGAAGAGGCGAGGGGAGAACGCCGGAGGTTGGCCGGGTGAACCCAGGACCTTTTGAGCTGCCTAGATCAATAGCAAGGATTTCGCTGCAGCAACGCGCGTCAAACCATTCCGTTATCGTTCGTATTGTCTCGATTCTACTCAAGATCGAGTACGAAGAAACCGGAGAAAATAGACGAACGATTCGTCAAATCGATTTCGACGTGGAAAAATTTCTTAATCGTTGTGCTCCGATAGCCATTTTTTTTTTTTTTTTTTAAGACGTCGTTCCATTCGAAGAGAAACAACAATCGACGTTTAGAGTTCTGTGGTTGTACGAGTCGATTTTATCGCCGGTCGTAACTGTCGCTTCTTTTTTCGAAATTACATTTCCCCTGATTTTCTCCTGCCCGCGTACAGCGTTAGTATTTTTACGCACGACTGTTTACGCGAAATCGCACATTGTCGATTCGTAGAAGTCATAAGCGATTATTTTTTTCTCGTTTCTTTGTTGGTTCTGACCGGCGTACGCTGACAAACTTTTGGACACAAGTTATATTTAGCGTTTCTGTTTACCGGTGCTATTTTAACGCGTGTGAGAGATTAGCGAAGTAATATTTTCGTCTATGTCTCTATATGTAACGAGCACTTTGAGGGAAAGGCCGATTAAAAATGGAGAAGGAAAGAGAGAGAGAGAGAGAGAGAGAGAGAGAGAGAGAGAGAGAGAGAGAGAGAGAGAGAGAGAGAGAGAGAGAGNAAAGGGGGAGGAAGGAAACGAGAATGAAAGGGCGTCACAAACGCGAACTCTGAATGAGAAAAAGAGCCTTTGTGTCTGCGGGATGAACTGCACTTCTGTCTCTATTACACACTATTTTTATTTCATCACGTTCACTTCGTTATGTTAATTGCATCGCGGGTCCCTGTCAACATCGACGCCTGTTAAAATCGATAACTATATGCAATTCGATTCACGAGGGTTAAACGCTCGAGATAGACAGCGATAGGTTCGTGTTTCATTGCGTTACAAACCTCTACGAGACTTACCACGTTGCTAATAATCCTTTGAACGATGAGAAAGGCGTGTCTGCAGAACGACGAGTCAATGCACAAATTTGTACAATTCACCAAGCGTTAGTGTTCACGTTAGTAACTTGTCACACGTTCGCTCGCTCTTATGCGTTCACTTACATCTTCACTGTACGCCGCGATACGATGTACGAACAACAACCACACGTAGAAAGCAACTGATCAATCGGAAGTCTCAACGTCGGATATTCCTTGCGACAGCTTTGATATTCTATCAATTTTTCACAGAAATCGGGAGAACTGTCAACGGTGGTGAAACGAGGAAATCGCTATGTCCTTCGATGTCACATTTTCAGCTATGCGCGTATGTCGCGTCTGGAGCCGTCGCGACGCCCTGCGTCGCTTTTATAGACCCGGCCGACACGCGCAGACGTAGATCGGGAAAAGGGGTATGGAACATCGATGCGAGGATCAAACATCCCTGTAATTTTCCGACGTTTTTTCCAACGATTAAACGATACGTATATTTCTACTTTGCAAACAAGGTGGATATCACTTTCTCCAGTTAGTCGGTAATTAAGGATAATTACATTTATTCGCGAGATGTTAACCCTTCTCCTGCCCTCGTTCTCGACTGCGTTTTTCTATCGTTGGAAAATTTCTCGTGGCAGGTACGAAAGAATCATTATCGATATCTCTGACTCTCTCGTAACGTTTTCTTTTTTCATCATTGGAGGATTTCTCAAATTCGAGAAAAAGTACGAAAAGTACTTTGATTGCACGCTGAAATTATCTTTTAACCTAACACCAAATATTATTTCTTTCGATTGAAACTAAAGATTATGGTCTTAACATGTTACAATGAATTTCGATAAATTTCGATTCTTGAGACGAAAGATAAGTTAACGATTTCTTCCCACCGTATCGTTCGAGTGGTATCGTTCTTTCTTGTTAGCACGTGCAAAATTAGCGATCTCAGGTTCGTTGTTCTCCGTTGCATCGGCGTAACAGTGTAACGCATACTTAATGACAAACGATGCTCGAGCATATGCGTACACACGCGTATGCACGATAGACCGAATGTAATAGTATTATTACTGATGGCCAAATAATACGCATACTCCTGAGGTGGAATTTAATTTAAACCAGAAAGTATTTTTAACATGTATGTCAAGTATACGATGTCCATAGGGATGGATCGTACATACCAGTGCAACGACGGTAATATCGAAGATATAAATAGAGAAAACCGTTACGATAGAAGTAGGTAATACGATGTATCGTGTAACTCTTTCGTTTCGACTCATTAGATCCGTAACACCTCTATCGTCGAGACGTTTTCACCTCCTCGATCGATGCGTTTCAAGAGGAGACTTTCGTTTCGTATGGTTGTAATAATTGAGAAACTCATAATTAGAGACCATAACTAGCACCTAGTTTATAGTTAGATACTGGAAGCTAATTACAAGCAGTTTTGTTAAAAAAGAAAAAAAAAAAATTGAATAGATATCGAAGATGCTAGAATATACTTTCACTTTCTTAAAAAGAACAAACGTGGGCAAGGATCATTTTTTTTTTTTTTTTTTGGGTAATAAATAAACAACTCGATATTTTTCATGGGTTCATAAGTGCATTATAAGCTTCATAGGTTCTTTATTCATATATAATAAATAAAATTTAAGTATAGACAATCAACACTACGAGAATGTTGAAGACAAATAAAAGTCTTGAAGATAAATAAATTAGTCTCTTGTATAAAAATTTGATCCGACAAGTGGTTGATCTACATTGTTGTTCTTTTCGTTTTCGAAAGGTACAAGGATTCTCATTCGGAAGAAGACGAACACAGAGTGTACTCTGAGTAGGTGTCACAGCAGGAACACGAACTGTGAGAACAACAGGAATCGTAGGAAGACGATTCGTCAGAGTAATCTGTATCACTATCGTCATCTTCGGTGCTGGAGTACGAACGTTCTGTAAGAAACTAGGTAAATTGTATATCGTTCGAAAGTTATTGTTACCTGCATAAAGATCTTTTTAAAAGTAACGAAATACCTGGCAAATAACCCATCTTTTTGACGATACGGGTGACATGATGACTAAAATCTTCCATGGCCTGTTCTGCTTTTCTCTCATGCCGTCGTATGTGCCTTTCTCGATGTTCCAATAAACGTTTCTCAAATTTCCCAATTTGTTTCCCCGCTATTATAAACACAAACGATTACACAAGCGAGCATAAATTCAGTTCTGCGACTGAATCTCGAAAATAAAAACCGATAACTCGTTTACCTATCTTTTTATCGTCCTGTTTCTTGCATTTTGACCTTGATTTTTTGTTCGTCGATATTCCCGATGCTTCCTTATCTCCAGATTTCTTCTCTCTCTTCCCTTTCTCTGCCGTTTTATGCTCGCGTTTTACTTTCGTTTTCTCAGCCACGGCCTCATCGTGATCATCTTCTGAGTCCTTTGCGCCTTTCTTCCGCGAGGAAATATTATTGCTCGCGAGGGAATCTGTTTTCGTTGCCGTTTTTTTATTCTGTTCCTTGCATTTCGATTTTTCCCCCTCGTTCATCGTTGTTTCTTTATTTTCTGGACTCGAGTCTTTCTCTTCGTTCACCGATGTTTCCTTGTTCCCTGGATTTTTATCCTCTTTCGTTTTCACTGTCGATTTACGCTTGGATTTTGTGTCTGTTATTTTACTGCTGTTGCTCTGAGTCACGAGTTTGCAATAATTATTGTTTATATCGTTATACTGCATATATTCCACGTATAAATCTCCCACGCAATGCTTAGAAACATCATTACTTACGGAAGAGTCCTGTTTCGACGTCGAAGCATCGCGCCACGAATTAGTGAGCCTAGGACTTTTGCCTTTCGGCGTGCTTGTTATAATCGGCGACTTTGAATCTTTGCTTTTCGACGTGTTTGCGGTTATCGTCTTTTCCGGCGTAGTATTCGTTTTATCGTTTGTCGGTTCTACAACTTTTATTTCGCTAGTTTCCTCCTTTTCCTCGCCTTTACGCTTTCTAACTGTCTTCTTCCGCTCGGATTTCACCGTTGGAGTCTTCTTACCAGTTGTTTTTTGGGTACCTTCTAACTGCTGCGTGTCAGTTGATTCTTCAGTTTTGTTCGTTTCGTCCGTAGTCTTCTTTCTCCGAGAATTGTCTCTTTTTGGCTTCTCTTCCTTCTGCTTGTTAACGTCACCATTCTTCGTTACTTTGCCCTTCGAGCCCTCTGTTCTTTTGTTACCTATCTTCGCGATTTTTTTTTCATCTTCTGGACCATCGTTTGCCGGCCGATCGGTCTTCTTCCCCTCCGACGATTTTTCCCCGTTCGTTTCACTTTTACGAGGCGATCTCCCGGATGACGTAGCGCGTTTTTTCCCCGGGCTCTTCTCTGTAGCGAAAGACGGCGTTAAAACCACGCGGTTCGTGGAACAGCGAGTCGAAAATGTGTTTCTGCTTACCTGCGGGGGTGAGTTTCGGGTCGAGTGTTATTCGCTCTTTAAATTCGTTCAGCACGTTCTGCATGAAATTGTGTTGCACGAAATCGTCGATCTGGGTCCACGGATCCGTTTGCAGTATTTGATCCATGTCGAGAATACCGTCGGTCGTGAGAAACGAAAGCGATGCTCTTCCGAGAATTGTTTTCCGGCTCATTTCTGGAGAATTAAAAAGGGAGAATTGAAATAGGAGGTGGGCCTGTTCTGCTTGGACCAGGAAGAATTAGACCGCAAGCTGAGATTAGCGGAACCCCCCCCGAAGCTGTTCTTAAACCGAAGTCAACCACGCCCGTTTTCGTTTCCGAGTGAGGAGACGAAAAGAAACAAATACAAGATCGATTTTGCTTGCCCGCTTGCTTACTCGTAACGCCCGTTCTACGTCAAACCGTGTATTTTCGGTTTTCTCTGTTTCAAGATGAAAACGAGCCGATGGGTAGCCGCGTGTCGAGCAACGCGAATCCACGACTCGAATAATAACGACTAATTTAAGAATCGTGGAAATCGGCGAGTCGCGTGCTGCCGGTTCCAACGAAAATGCGATCGCCACTGATTTGAATATCAAATCGTCAGTATACACCGATTATTTAAGAAAGGTCGTTACGTCCTCGTTTGTTTGCCGTGCTAACGATTGTTGTGATAATCTAACGGCTTTCCGATCTAACGATCCAAACTGATCGATCGAGCTGTCTGTTGCGAGCGTGCAACAAGCAGATTTGTTAGAGGGAACGTCGCATTAACGTCAGTTATCTCTTTTCAGTTAATATTTATCGCTGACTTCTACTTTTCGTGAAACTCCGAGGATCTTGATTTTCATGAAATTTCTAGGAATTTTAAAATAAGACCAATCTACATATATTTCTTATTTTCTTATTTAATTAATTTGATTTACTGGCTCTTTTAAAGCAAATACAATACAATATTGCATATTATAATGACATTAGTTTATTAATTGTTCGTCAGGAATTTTACAATTTTATTCGTGATTTTCTAATTGAAAGTAATATTTATGAATAATCGTCGAAACTTTTGAACGGTGGAGCATATTTTGAGATTCGTTTCAAATAGGGCTTATTTCAATTTAAAATGTTTTGTACGTATACTATGCGTAATGGGTGTAAAAAAGTTTTCCAACGATAAGTGTTAGAACGCTCTTGTGAGTCACTGTAATTGTTTTCATCAAGGTAACACGTGATGAAAACGACGTCAAATACGATACATAGAAGAGAAGAATTTATTTATAACGATATCTGAATGGAGTTGACACGTCGATCAAATTTTCCTATTTCCCGCGCTTAAATACCGACACGATCTTCCTCGTTGTACAGCGGCTGAAAGAAAAGTTAGATACGACGAGATGGTGAGAAATGTCAAGGTACATGGACAAGATGACGTCACGTTTTCCCCTCAAGTTGCTCGAGTTTACGCCAACCAGGGGACTAAATCCTGCTTATAATAGCGGGCAATCGCTTGGAAGAGGGATAAGGTGACGTCATTTTTCCACTGATCAGCACGTTACGCACATTCCTGTGACATCAAATTTTTCCCACCGTGAACGTCGTTTACTAAATAACGTACGCAGGCGTAGGAGTTAACTCGATTATTATCTGCACTCGTTCCTGCGTAGATACTCCGAACGAGAGAAGAAGAGAATAAAGAGAGAGAGAGAGAGAGAGAGAGAGAGAGAGAGATTGTTCCATGTGATTGCAAAATTTCGAAGAACACGCACGGATCTCTCTGTTTCTCGATTTGCCTGTTGCGCTCTAGATAAATAGACGTAATCGCGATCCTTGCTCGCTCCTCCACTTCGGTGAAATAATATTTGTACGTTGAAAAAATATTTGGTGCGCTTTGTTTCGTAACTGCGACTACATTGTGCGTTCGCACCTATTATTTCACAGGCTTACTTCAGCCGATGTTGTATTTTGATATTCGGAATATCGGAAGGAAAGCACATAGAATAATCCTGGCTAGAGGAACATTTATCGCCACCCAATTCGTATTTTTCTGGGTATATAACTTTCTGAGAAGATTGCAATTTCCTGCGCTCGCTTTTCCCTTCTTTCTTCGTTTGACTGTCGCGAGAGTCGGCGACGCCGGATTTCTCGTCTTATCGAGCGATCGACGAGACGCGTCCCATGGATGTCGGAGAGTGTAAGAAAACAGGTAAATAGATTCCCGAGGATATCGAGAGAGACACGATCGAGAAAGAAAACAATTCGATGAAGACGTTGCCCCAGGCGACTGTCGCGGCCGCCTGGCTCATCGAAATAAAACGTCGATTCACGTTCTGGGACCAGTGTCGCCACGTATGTCCTACGTATACCTATAAAAGTACCGTCATCGGTGTGCCGGATCTGGAAACAGTTGACCGCGGTTATTCGAGCGAACATGATCGAGGTAAGACGTCGAAATGCTTTGGAACGTGACACATTCACGACACTTGAATCTGTAATCGAATTTAGTTGTCGGGCTCGTTCATTGAATCTCTTTCTGATTGAACTTCTTGAATTTGTGACTTTTAAGTGATAGCTGTACAGGTAAATGTTAGTTTTTGACAGGTAGAATACAAAAATATAAGTTTCATATAAAGCTTATGTATATTGTAGTACAGTGTAGTAGCTCTTGTTTTAATTAATTAAGTTGTCTAAATTCAAATAACTCGAAGCGTGAACTTTAATCACTTCACTTGAAATATGCGTCTAGTTGTCGGTGCGAAAAAGAAATTCGATATTTTTCGAATCGTTGCAGATTATTGCCTTGTTTATTGGAGTCATTGGAACTTTAGCGGTTCCTGGAATGCCTGAAGCGTCTGGATTGCCTGGAACTCATTACATCTCGGCAGATATTACGGAAGACGTGGAAATGGTCTCTTTACCAGGCTCGGAAAATCTAGACGAAAAAAGCATACCCTTGTCAAAACTGGCTGGCGATCACTCTTTTCCATTGGCGGGTCTAAACTTGCTGGAAACGACTCCTACTGAAATAGTTGTCAAACTTCCTGGGACAAAAAATCTCGCCGAGAAGCGTATTCCTGATCCGGTCTTGCAAAAGTTATATCAACGGTATCAAGTTGATTAACCAGTTTTTGGACGACGTGATTTCAGAGAAATTGTCGAATTGTGAAAGAAGACTTAGAGCTGATCGTCGATTAAACGGTGAGAAATATTATCTTCTCGAAATTATTGGACAGATAATGCCAATTTTCCTAAACTGCATTCCTTCACATTTCCTTTGGTCCTTTGTCTATTTTTGTCTTGTATTCTTCGTTATCTATTCGATCGATCAGATGCAGCAAATTCGGTTTAATGGAGCGATTTATAAGTTAGAATGAAAATTAAATGTAACAAGTAGTATATTACAATGATACACAGGATACTTATGTTCTGTGATAATAGCTGTTGATTTTCGTTTTTATCTTGGACGGATAACAACGAACTCTACCTTATTCAAAGAACCACGTTCAAGAGTCACATTCTGTAATACCGACTTTGACGAATCAACGCTTCTTACGCTCTCTCTGTAGGTATTCGTGTATCTCGTGATGAAACTGACCGTAAAGTCGATAACATAGATCACGGATAGCTTTGTAGTCTCGTTGAAAGATGGTATCATCGGTACATTCGCAAGTGGCATATCGAAAAATTGATCGTGGCTAAATTTTTCGCACGAAACGCGGCGACTCTTTTTACTCCGTCGTGAGAAGTTATTCGCGGAATGGAACGAAAGAGGGTTGTTCTCTATCTCGTTTTAAAACGTCCTCTCCACGTTAATTCGTTTTCAGAGGTGGATTGTCACACGCCGGGTTAACGGAGTTGTCGGTTCATTGAAGAAAAAGGGAGGCCGGTTGTAGGGGGTAGGGTGGAGCGAGGAGGAGGAAGAAGGAAGGGGATTAATTCGTCTTGAACAAGATCCCTTTGTACCTGGATCCTTTCTCTTTGTCGCGAGGTTTGCTAACAGCGGTAAATTCGCGAGGAAAAGCAGGGAGTGTTGAAAAGAAACAACGAAAACAAAAGAAAGAAAAAGAAAGAAAAAAAAAAAAGGAAAGAAAGAAGGAGAAAGAAGAAAAGGGCCGAGAGAAGGTATTTCTCTCCCCCCGTTACTTTTGTAGTTTCCCACCGTTCCTTTCCGCAAGGGCACGGAGGGAAACTCGTCGGAGAGGGCAACCGAGCGGAGCGAGTGGCGCAAACGTGGTTACGAAGGGACAAGAGAACAATTTCGATAGCTTAACAAATAGCTTCGTTATTCTGTCGCTGCCACGCGCGATAGAACGTAGTACAGATTGTACGCGCGATCGATTATCAACGTTGCACGATGGTCGGTTTCCTAACAATCCACAGAATTATCCGACCATACGGGTAATCGCGTTACTTCATCAATTATCCGCTGACGCTGCACGCAATTAAGGCAGCGAAACACCAACCGATAACCTTCGCTTCACCATACGTAATCGCGACGGATTCGTGTGCGGCGTAACGAGGGTAAAGAGAGAGAGAGAGAGAGAGAGAGAGAGAGAGAGAGAGAGAGAGAGAGAGAAAGAGGGTTTGGAATGTTTTGTCGCTTATTGCTCTGCGGGCCGGACTCGGCGTTATTTTCCTCTGGTTATCGGCTGCGTGTCAGATGCGTGTTGCGAACATATCGATTCAGAGGGAGGGAACGGTCTCGATAGCTCGCCGAATATGCAAATAAATCTGACCATCAAAGGCGAAATATGCATACATACCGATTTATATACGTCGAGGCACTCGCGCCTCTCGATTTTCTGATCGCTGCAAATGCAATTGTCCGTCGCATTCGTAGCAGAGGTTTCTATTTCGCGTGTAGTAAATGAAACCGGGTCTCGATCCGTGTAATTTTTAACACACGGCTTGTGTTCCCGTGAAACCGGAATACATTTCCTCCTCGCGTGTGTATCGAAAATTTCAATTTCGGTCTCTCACGAAAGTGTTCGAACGTTTGTAAGTAATACTTTCGCGAATATATTACTATACATATGTTTGAAATATCATTAACGCCCGCCGTGTGAAACACGATCTGTGATGATTACATCGGGCATGATTGTAGTTGGAACAGATCTGAAAATACGTATGGAAATTACGAGTATATCGCAGAAGTAATTTAAACAGCCTATATCAGTAACCTTTAACATTTGAAAGTAAGCAAATATAGAGGAATAAAGTCGATGAATAAATATAGTCCACTTATACAGGGATACATTCAGGGATACAAGACAGATTTTTAATTTTTTAATATATATATATATATACCTTCTGTTTGTCACGTATATTTTAGTACACACTCAAAATCGCGTTCTGTAATTCTCTCTCGCTCTCTTGTTCCTTTTTTTTTCTTTATTCCATTGCACGCAGAATGGAGGGCACCAGTTTTCACGCCGATTCGCAGCAGTGCCGTAGAATTTTGTAAGCTGCGAAGGCTTTGGGGTTCGGTTATCCATTGTTCGACACGTTGCCAGCGAAAACAGTGTTTCAGCGTGTATCGGCGTGTACGTTGTATCTTGCAAAGATTCCTGTACCCTCGGGAAGCTAATTATCCGAGAAAGTTGGCTGACAAGCGCCGGATAATGCGGACTAGAAAAGAAAACGAGACGGGAGATAATCGACGAGCTTCCCATCTACGGACAAAGATTATCTCTCGAACGATGTGTAAAAGCGATGTGTGCAAGAGCGGATTACGCGCGTCGGTGATGTAGTTGGCGGCGACGCGAGCCCGCATTTCGCCCGCGCGTTCCTCCTCTCTCTTCCCCTTCCTCCACGCGATATACCAAGGAGACAGAATGAATCGTCGAAATCTCTGCAGCGGAAAGATCAAAGGGGAGGAGAAAATCGCGACGGTAAAAGGAAAAGTTTCGGGCTCGGGGATGAAACGAATAGGTTGGTTCCGTCCTCGAAGTCGGTGGCACAGTCGGATAGAAGTTGTTCGAGGACCACGGAGAACATTAATTCGTTTAACGGGCTCGTTTCTCGTTTTGCTCACACCTGCTGCCTTCCTCTGGCTCTCGGTTACCTCTTCCGTATTCGTCACGGCGACCACCGACCGAATTTATGGGCACGTCGAGCCATAATCCCTTTCATAAGTAATTCTAAAAGGACTGGTCGCAGAAAGGGTGAAGAGTCGATGAACCACGTTCTTACCGTCTTTCATGGAAGAGCAGTTTTTAAATCCGATAGCAATAGGTGTGACGCTCTCGCCAAAAAATTTGGGCCACGTTAACGTTTCGTATTTTATTCGCGATTTATTTTTTTTTTTACGGCACTTTAATTGTAAGGATAAAATGGATGAGCTGCCATATTCGTAAGTCGATCTAAATTTTTCTAAGTGTACTAGTACATTTATCAATGAAAGTAATATATATATATATGCACTCGGGTCACAATCGATTTCTGAAACAGGTTCCACGTATCACGGGACATAGTGCATACTTCGCTTCTCACCATATTCCGTGAGAAAGTTCCGCGGTTACGATAGTTACAACTCGATCAATGTTCGATCAACTATAACCTGTCTGTTATCTATCGTCGGGACAGAAAGAGTCGATCCCTTCGAGTTAGTTCGTATAAAATTTCAACAGCCATTTATATACGTCCCAACAGCTGGGAAATTTTTTATTCGCTTGTATATGCCAAATATAGGCCGTCGTAAAAAAAGCGATATAGTAAAAGTCATGCTCGAAACTGCGACGTAAAACCGTAGAGTCGAATTTCCGTTTTATCGTCGCGATGCCGAAGTTTTGCTACAATTGGCTCGCGAAAGTATCGACAAAGAGAAGAAGAAGAAAAAAAGGTAGAAAGTGATATGAATGTTATCGGCTCGAATAGACGGATGACTTATTCGAGTTAGATCGTCAAATATTAATCGTTAGTTAATCCACTGCTCTCGTCATCGGTAGTTGGAGTTTCCATTCGCTGGAAATGTTTTTCAAACAACTTCAATTTCAAACAATAAGTGTATTAAAAATATTTGATCTTAGAGCACGTTTATCAAGAATATTAAGAATATTTTATTATAGCGTAGGCAAAACTAAACTGCCTCTCGATTATTTTAACGCGTTTAAGGAGCAGGATACGATACCCGGTGCCTATTATAATCTGTAGACGATTATTCCCGGGAAAAGAAGTCTTCGAGCGTTCGCAACGCGGAACAGCCTTGGTGCCAGATGCGCGCTGGATCTGATCGTTTCGATGTTTCGATATTCCGAAGGAATATCTCGGCGGTAGAGAACGGGGAGAATTATTTTTTTAGCGATCTAGAGAGAGGGAAGCTGCAATCCTGTCGATGAACGGTGATGCATCGACGGACGACGATTGTTCGGAAGCCCGTTAGCGCCGGTTCGTAACCGGGATTCCACGGGAGTATCGTCTCCCTTCCTTCCTATCACCATTCTCTTCATCCTCCACCACCACCACCTCCTCCTCCTCCTCTTCCTCCTCTTCTTCCTCCTGCCTCTCCATTCCCATTCCTCTACCCCTTTCATGTCCAGATCACGCGATGATACAGGAATGTCTGGGATGCCGAGAGCGATGGCGTAGTGCTCTTGGTTGACCCGGCATGGCCATTATCGTGATTACATTAGGTGCTATCCTACTGGGTAACGTGGCGTCGCGTACCCGCGAACCACCTGGTTTGCTGAGCGTACAATTCGATGGCGGAGGCCGGATCGTCAGATAGCCCCGATCCGCCGCTATCTGATGTCCTTTACACGATTCGCGTCTCGTTTTGCCGCCACCCACCGTCCCTCCCCCTACCCCCTACGCATCCTATATTACCTACAATTTGGATCGTTGTCCACGGTGACTTTCGGTACAGGAGCCATGCCGCATTACGATTCCGCTGCGCGTCGATGATCGTGCTATCCGCCAGAGACCGATAAACGAATTTCCGTTTCTCTCGATGGCGATTGCTAGACGAATTTTCACTCTTCGTTGCTTAGTTTTATTGATATTAAAAAATCGGTTAGACGCCGATGCCCTCCCGTATCGATCGATAATCATCGGGAAGGTAAAAGGTAAAAGGCTTAAATTGCAAAATTTGAGAAACCGGATCAACGCTCGTTGGAAGCTTCAGCATTGAGGTGCATATTTTTACGTTGAGTCAGTGAGCAATCGGCAAAGTATTTTAGTTTCGAATACTACTGTGGTACGTTATTAGACGGAAGATTTGAGTACGTTGTCTAAAAAAAAAAAAAAAAAAAAACACGATCACTTGTAATTCGAAGGTCACAGACTCGAAAAAAAAGGAAAACAAGGGAAAATTGTTGCAATCGCTAAAGCTTGAAATCTAGCCGCGTGGTTGATCAATTTGTCCGTCCGAAAGTGTCATGATCCGTGGAGGTATCAAAGGCACCTCCGCGTCGACGACGAACGAGAACGACGCGACTCGGCGCGACACGGCGCGACGCCTACGAGGAGTTTGCCTCGGTAATAGAGCCGACGTCGTTTATCCCTCCCTTTTTGAGACTTTATTCCGGCTAGATATTCCCGGGAGATCGCGGCTCGAGACTAACGTTTTATAACTTGCAGTTTCTCCGGTGTGTCGTATAGTTGGGTTATCCAACGACATGCTAGACGTCTACGCTTTTACATTTTTTTTTTTTTTCTCGCGTCTCTCCCCTCTCAACCCGTTCTCAAGCCGCTTCGGGGCGACTTCGTTTTTCTTTCGTTTGGTCTATTATGTAAATAGCAATAGATCAGGTTGTCACGGCTGCAGAGAGAAGGGGTGGAAGAGCATACGTGCGCCTCGATTCCGCCGTTACGCACGTGGAACAGAAAACTCGCGTGCGTATTTCGTATATAACGGATAAAGGGGACGGATAGAGGCGGCGTATTGTGTAGGCGATCGAAGCACGATCGAACGTTGAAAGCCGCGGACCATCGTGCACGCTTCGATAATCGCGATTGAGAGGTTCGAGAGTCGAAACGATCCGGACCAGGCCTCGGTGTGCCTCGGTCTCGCGGACGATCCGCTTTCCTCGTCGATCCTCCTTCATTCTTTCTTTTTTTCTCT